GTGTTGAGGAAGACCTGGCCCAAGAGAGGGTCCAGGATGAAGAGCCCGACGTCATCCCCACCCACCAGATCATACCGGAGAGCTCCGTTGATGCCAGAGTCCGCATCCCTGGCCACGATGGTGAAGAGGAAGGGAGCACCAGCACACGACATGAGTGTTGCGTTGGTCACTGCTGCAGTCCCTTGAGTGCTCCCGTTGCCAGGAGCCACCCAGAAGCACCCTGTCTCTGCATTCACCAGGACAGAGAGCGTGGCCGTGCCTCCCACCAGTGCTGGCGTGGTGATGACGGGTGCGTTGTCGTTCTGGTCGAGCACAGCCAGCCTGATGGAGACGTTGGATGCCAGTTTGGGGTGACCACTATCCTCCGCGGTCACCAGGAACTCCAGGCTCCTCACCTGCTCGTAATCAAAAGCTTGGAGGGCAAAAACTTCCCCAGTGGTGGGGTCGACGGAAACCAGACCCGAAGCGGAGGAGTCCAGGATGCTGTAGGTGATTTTCCCGTTGAAACCCAGGTCGGGGTCGGTGGCACGGACAGTGAGCAAGAAGGCAGGTGCTTTGCTGTTCTCAGCAATGGCAACCTCATAGGTGGCCTTCTCGAAGGAGGGGCTGTTGTCGTTGACATCGCTGATGCAGATGGTGAGGTGCTTCAGCACAGCCAAGGAGAGGTTCCCCTGGTCCCGCACCACCAGTGTCAGGTTGTACTCGGCACGCAGCTCCCGGTCCAGCGCGGCGTTGGTCATCAGCACGTAGCTGTGGCTGTTGGTCCTCTTCAGCCTGAAGTGCTCATACCCTTGGCTGAGGGAGCAATGCACTTGCCCGTTGCTTCCCGAATCAGGGTCGCTGGCTGTCACCAGCGCCACAAAGCTGTCTTTGGGGAGGGCTTCGGAGAGCACGGGCACCCGTGCAGCCCAGGTGATGTGGACATCAGGAGCGTTGTCATTGACATCCAGGACCTTGACCAGGATCTTGCAGTGCGCTGGGATTGGGTTGGCACCCAGGTCCCGGGCTTGCACGTCCAGCTCGTAGGCGTGGGTTTCCTCGTAGTCCAGCGGTTGTTTCAGCATGATGCTGCCTGTGCGGGCATCAACGCTGAAAGTGCTGAGCACCTCCGGGGACGCATGCTTGCTCAGGCTGTACTCGATCTCCCCGTTGGGGCCCTGGTCGGGGTCGGTGGCTGTGACTGTCACAAGGAGGGTCCCAGGCAAAGCATCCTCCTGCACCTCTACCATCAAAGAGCTTTCTGCAAAGACGGGGCTGTTATCATTGGAGTCAAGGACGATGACTTTGATTAAAGCGGTACCTGATTTTGGTGGCTCCCCATGATCAGTGGCAGTCAGGACGAGGTCAAAGGAGGAGTGCAGCTCCCGGTCCACTTCTTTAACCACGACAAGCTCAGCGTGTCTCGTCCCATCGGAGCTGGAGACAACCTCCAGAGCAAAGTGCTCGCTGGGGGACAGGGCGTAACGGCAGCGGGCGTTGGGGCCGGCATCGGCGTCCAGGGCTCGGTCCAGCGGGATCCGCATCCGCAGGGATGTGCTCTCCGACATCTCCAGCTCCAGCTCGGGCGTGGGGAAGCGCGGCGCGTTGTCATTGACATCCAGCACTTGAACCTCCACGTGAATCAGAGCCAGGTTTCGGGCGGCCAGCACGTCGAAGGAGACCCAGCAGGGATCGCTGTGCCGGCACAGCTGCTCCCTGTCCACCCGCCCGGCCGTGCTGAGCCCCCCGCCTCCGCTCCCC